GCCCCCTTGTGGGCGCTGGAGGCTTTCAGGGGGGCAGTAGAAGGCTCAAAGAGAATTGGGGGGCGTTAAGGAAATATAGAGGGGCGACGGCAGACAAATTCTATATATAAAAATTCGACGGAATATATATAAAATGTTGACATTTTATATATTTTTTATTTTTTATTGAAGGTCACAACTTGAATATTTCTAACACATTGACTTTTATTTTAGCTCAGCGTTTCTCAAAGTAAGCAATAACGCCCCCTTCTGGGCGATGAATAGATCTAGGGGGCGCTGGAGGAGGGTATTGAATGGTGACCGAAGGTAAAATTGGGGCTGATCAGAGGAAACATTGCATTTAATGGTTTCCAGATGATGAGAACAATGTACAGTTAGGGCACAAAGTGTGAGATTCATAGAAAAGTTTTCCTAAGAATATTTCCAATCCTTTTCTCACACAAGAGAAAATGAATTAGGGGGCATTGGGTATAACTTTATGGAACAAAGGGGGCGGTGGATCGAAAAAGTTTGAGAATCACTGGTTTAAACATATCTATAATGTCCTCTTTTTCAGAACAGTTTGTCCTCCACTTATAATTTTTCATCTGGTAAGTTAACATGTGAGGCAAATTTTATAGATCATCTAGATATTTTACATTCCTGAATTCATTGCTTTTGTTCATCCAGGAATAACAAACATCCTGCTGCAGCTTATAACCCTAATAAGATACTGATTTTTGTTTTAGCAGACCTATTTTACTCTTAAAATTAATTAAAGACTTAAATTTATATTTTATAATAAATCTTTAAATTACATAAAATTTAACTTACATTTTTCTTAAATTGTATTTTGGCAACTTTTTCATCCCATTTAAACATCTTTACTGCTAGATCTACTTCCTTCTTTAGTGCTACAGAAAGATTTTTAATTTCTGGTAATAAATTTTCATATCTGGCTAAAATATATTGCTGATAAACAACTAACGGAAACAACACGAGTCTAAGAGTAACAGTCGTAGAAAGTAAAGTCATCCACCACGGCATTCCGGAGTGCAAATGTATCCACTCCAATAGTTCCTGTGCCATTTCCACCGGTTTTGAAGTCGCAACAGACGTAACGAGAGGTGCCATAGAAAATTTCCGATACTGAGTGTAACTGCAAATTACATTCATTCTACATCTTGTATTTTCATAATTAATACATGAATGAAATCCATTCACACGATTTACTGCTGGAAAAGTTGCAACAGTACTTTTATGCAAAAAATATGAATTCCTCATAAAATATGAAGCAGAGTTTTCAACAGGATTATTTAAACATCTAAACCAAAACATATTATTATTATTGGCAAGAAAATAAACTGGAAAATTAAAAATGGCCTTCAATACTAATAAACAGTTCAAACATTATCTGAAGATTGAGAATTTAACGTTTGAACTTATCACATACTGAATTATTAAGGAATTCATTCATTTATTTACAGTAACTTGATGTGATTCTAATTGAATAAAATGATTTATTAAATTTTTATGTAACACAGTAATGAAATCGCCATTTATAAAATTTACACGTATAGAATGTTAATAACAAATTATAAATAAAGAATTTTTATCTATTTAGACTTATAGCAACTTTTGATTTCTCCCGGCCATAGAAATCAACAAACATCCACTTCCCCACGCTTTCGTTTACAAACGCCCTCGTGTGGTGGTAATAAATTTAAATATTATTTTTAATGAAAAATATTTTATATTTTAAAATGTATTTCATATTAATGTTTAATGTTTATTATATGTACTTTTGAATAAACGCTCAATATAAATAAAAATTTACTGTTTATTAAGCTTTTAAAGTGTTAATGTTATTTAATAAATATTCACGTTATATGTTTTTTCCTGTTCTTTTAACTCTCTCTGTTCTGTGGGCACTAAGAACGCTTCTTTTAGCAAGCCCATGGGTTTAGCCATGCTCATACAATGGGGCAACCAAATATAAGATACGGGCGCTACTAATCCTGACGGATCATCTGAAAAATTATTGGTGTTTTTCGACCTGTCCGGGTCTAATCTTGGGTCTCCAGAGCGGCCTGCTAACTTTATCACTCTGTCATCAGACCATTTGCTGTATTAAGATGTGTTCATAAAGTCGAACGAGTTACACGAGAATGATGTCATCGTTATTTTTATTTTCACTGGACATTTTAACCGATTCAACAATCTATTTAAGAAACAGCCAGTTTACAACAAACTGGCTGCTTCTAAAATCGAAGTTACGAATGTTGCTAATGTAGTCTTATCCGAATAGTTTTTTTCTCACTTCAGGTGAACAGTTATTTATGTCATTCAGCTTTTAATCCACAATTTATATGTTTGAATGGATTTAGAAACGTCAGCATTGTCGGATGCCATTTTTTTCACGATATAAACTAACTCATTCGTTCGTAAATTTCTTTAGAATTTAATTTGAAAATTCATCAGAATACATCATGTGCATTGAGCTGAATTAGTATTTTATGACCAACTCTTTAGTAATTCACTAGAGCAAACTGACACATTAGGGTTCGTGAAGTCACAAAAGCAAATTGGCAAATTGGGATTTTTCTAATTAAATGGAAAACAACTGGAAAAACAAGGTGGTTAAGACTCTTTTTTATACTCTTTCCGCCCTGTGGCACTAAGAAGGCCTCTTATAGCAGACTCATTATGGGTTCGGCCAGGCCCACAATGGGGCGACCGGGTGGTGAGAGACGGGGCCCGACATGAACGGACGGACCACCCCCGAAAAATTCCTGGGGACTCCTTGACCCTTCCGGCTTCGATCCGGGTACCCCAGAGCGGTAGACTGCCACCTTGACCGATCGGCCATCCGAACGCTAACTTTTACTGATTGTAATTGTTTTTCGCAACGTTTTCCCAGAATAACAGGCACAAATACCAGTTGAATTATAGAAAATTGTAATATTCAATGTACTGCACTCGGATTATCTAGTATCCCTCTTTTTCTTTTTCTTCCGCTGTGTTACGACGTTGCAGTATCACGTGATATAATGCAGTATGGTGCCTAACGTCTACCTCTAGTAGCAAATTACTTAGTATTAATTATTAAAAATAGCGAATTTATGGTCCTAGTATTTAAGACGATCGTTTGGCTATGAATGACAATAGTTTACGTATACAGTTAAATCTTCAATAATGGTCACTTTTAATCAACGGCCATTTTTTTCGGAAACATTATTAAAAAAAAGTGCGTGCGAAATAACCTTCAAAATAATGGCCAGTGTTAATGTTTTCCTTGGAGGTCGTTGTTAGTGACTGTATTAAATTCAAAAAGAAAACTTAGAAAGTTTAGTATTTATCTCGGAAAAAGCAATATTGAAACTTATGACATAATTGACGAAACTTTTAAAAATGACTGCTCAACCATGTCCTTAAGATAGTAAGGCCCTGTACACACTAGGCGTTTTTCAACGCGCGTTTTAAAGAACCAAGAGTTCTATGTAGCCATACACACTCAAACGCCAAGCGCGCGTTTAACGCGCGTTTATAGATTTTTGTTAAAACGCGCGTTTTGCGGGCACTTTACGGGCGCTTTGAGATATATGTGCTGCCTTATAGCGACGATGGAGGAGCACACACAATCAATTACTTTCTCGTCCATTTCCAAACTGAGCCAGTGCTAAACGCCGAACTAACGCTCGTTGAACTCCGAGCTAACGCGCGTTAGCTCGGCGTTAAACGCGCGTTGAAAAACGCCTAGTGTGTACAGGGCCTAAGTTTTTGAAAGGGAATGAGAATTAAAAGGACAGTCTCGATCTTACGGACTTCAATTTCGAACTTAGAAGAAAATTATCAAAAATCAATGAAATGTGTAAAAACCATTTGTTGATAATTATTTGTAGTAGCCTATTTTTAACTAAAAATGCAGGTTCTGTGTTTATAGTTTTCCTGTCCTTGACGAAATGCATTATAGTTATCGGAAAAATAATGAAATAAACTAATACCAGTTTATAACAAATAAATAAATTAAAATAAGGACATTTTTAAAAAAAAAAAAAAAAGTGAGTAGCCATTTATCAATTCTTTCCTTGGCAATATCATTGCGTGCGACTAAATATCCAGATGACACAATGCGCTGATTGGTCGGCTGAATGACGTCAACCTACTGGAAATGTTGATCAATTAGCCTAAACTTTGTAAGAGTTTTGAGAGCGGGCAGACGTTATAATTATAGACATTTCATCTAAAACTCGATAAAAGGCACTTATTTATAATTTCACTAGCTCTTGTGTGTATTGACATTAATGTTAAAATGATTGAAAAATTTTCAATTAAACTAAATTACGTGACATCAAAGATTTTAATGTTGAGAGAGTTTTAAATATCAACAAGTAACTTTTATCTGTTTTTCATTTCAATAAAGCATTTTTGTACATTTACTATAATAATAAAAAAATCAAAAACAACAAATGTAAATTGCAAATTAAGTTTTTTTTTTACATTCTTTATTAGACAATACAGTATTTTTAAACTTACAAAAACTTGTATTTAATGTTTTATATATATTACAACAGAATATGCTAAGTGGAAATGCAGATTAGTTATATAGTTAATATAATTTAAGATAGTTAATATAATTTTCACCTAAACATAATTCATAGTTTTTAATGCATAATTGTTAAAACATTTTAAATAATAAGTTATTTTTTTCTACAAATTCTCTATTCCATTGGCTTGCTTTTCAAATCAAATCCTGTGGAAACTTAAATATAGACACCGAATATCACTTCACTTTATATTTTTCTACGCAACACAAACAAAAATAACTTACTACGAAAACATTACAGTACAAATGCAACATTACTTTTTTGTTTATTTATTTAATAATCGTTAAATAATTTATACAAGAATTCTATACTTTTAATTTGAAAAATGGTCATACAAATTTGATTAAATATATTTACAGATATACTGTATCTATTATGGAACTGGATAGATGAAATTTCTGTAAATTTGAAAAGTGTTGTTTCTTAACACAGATTTTGAACTGATATTCAAAAGCACAAAATATCTATTGACAGAAAGAACTGTCAATCCTAACTAAAGCATTAAAAAATTTTTTCTGATGAAAGTAACCTACGGAGAATAGACCTATTCTTTATTCAAAATTGTTCAATAACTTTTACATTTAAACTTTATAATTTGTTAAGCAAGATTTGTGAAAATTTCTCTTTCAGAGGTATACAAAACTTAGTTAATTTTATTGTTTCATCTAACTATATTAAATGCGTGTGACAAATTCAAAAAAATATTCCGACTCGTCTTAATTATAAATTTCATCCTTTCTCGAACTTTTTATAAATAATATCTGTAACAAATTATAAATTTTCTGTTATTCATTATCTGTGCACGTATATTTAAATTTAAAACACTAATCGCACTATTAAAATTATCTATTGTGTATGATTTGGTTCAGAGGTACTGTACTGTACATAAAGATCAAGTACGAGGGCTGTTCGGAAAGTTCGCGGCCTGAAATAGAACAACAAACAAAATAATGTTAAAACTTTTTTATTTTTCATTGTAGTCTTCTTTGTTAGCAATGCACTTATTTCAGCGATGTTCTAGCTTTTTTATGCCATTACAATAGGTCGATTTGTCAAGGTGTGCAAAATACTCGTTTACTTCAGAGATGACTTTGTCATTTGAGTGGAATCTCTTTCCAACCAAGAATTATTTTAAATTTGGAAAAAGGTGGAAGTCACTGGGGCCAAATCAGGTGAGTACAGTGAATGTGGAACTAATTTTTGGAAGTTAAGTTCGTTTATTTTTTGTTCAGTGATTCTGGCATTATCGTGGTGAAACAGAACCTTCTTCTTCAAGTGTGGCCTCTTC